TTTTTTTAGTGAATCCAGTTTCTATAACCACTACTTCCTCTATTTGACATTTTCTGGTGGAGAATATGTTCAGTGCACTTTCTTTGAGTTATGATAAGAAATGTTTTCTTTTTGTGACTAGATTGCCTGTTCAAAACTTGCACGGGATAATTCTAAGCAGTTATCACATGTATCACATTACTCTCATCTCTTTTTTCTATTCATGCAGTCATGTCTCGCGCATAATATTCTAATCGACCCTGTTTCGGAAGAAGAAAGTTACCAGGATGGGAGCCTGATGATAACTTGCATGCCATCACGTAATGAGGTCACACAGATGACCGTCACAGGAGAGTGGTCAACGCCAAAGATAAATGAGGTATGCAAAGTTGTCATGCACTCATGTCAATTATGTTTTTATTCTTTTGCAAGTTGCAATTATGTACATAAATCAGCACTCGGGATAAGCATTTACGGAAACCTTTGCACTTAATTGCTGATTCTTACCCTTGCGTTATCATATTGATGTTGAATGGAAAGTGTCACATCATACTTTTCTTAAATGGGTGAAAAATAAAAAATTCTCGCACCAAATAAATTCGGGCTCTTGTATCTCAGTTGTATTTTTACCATTACGTTACGACTTTTTAGTGACTGAGTAGAACAGAAGCCCAAGTTTACATTTTATGAAACGAGAAAAATATTTCCGTGCTTCACTCTACTCTATGTTAGTGAACCAAGTTCAAACAAGCTTTCTTCATTTGTATCGAGTATTAAAATATTTTGATTCGTTAGGAGTCTGAAGCTGATTTTTTGTGTATGCAGGCAATGCAGTTATGCCTGGATGCTTGTTCCAAGCTAGGGAAGATCATTAGGTCTTGTCTAAAAGAAGCTGCTTTTGCTTCACATGATTAGGTTGCCTCCTTAGTATACAACTTTCTTGCAGTCACCGAGAAATATTTCTCTTAAATTGTTCTCCATAATTTTGCTTCTTGTGTCTCAACTTTGCAGTAGACAAATCTTGACTCCGGTTTAGGCTTTTGTTATTTTTTGTTCACATATATGTATTCACTATTCACTGCACGAACTATTTATTTTGGTTGGGAAAAATCTTATTATTTTCCTTGATTCCTACATAAAAATGTTCACCCAATTGAACTGTATAGTGGGGCTCTTAGAATGATTAGCTTGTTATCTTTACAATTATTTAGTACATAAAAAATAATGTCATTCCCCTGGGTATTGGTAATTCTTTTAACATAATCCTCCCTATATAGAATTCCCGAATGCGCTGAGCCTACGTGGCTGCTTTTGGTGCTTCGGAATCATACTTGGCGAAGAATCATGCTTCGAATTAGGTTTGGACAAATAATATTGATATATTAATAATTAATAATCTAGATTCATACATTTCATAAATATTATTTATCTAACTTAAGTATTTTAATATCATTTGTACTAATATAACCCTTTAATTATTTGTAATTTTACATAGTGAGACATTAAGTGACTAATATATCTCTGACTTTGATTTGTTTTCTTCAATTAGCTATAAATGTATTTTAAAAGTTGATAATTTTTATATTTCTTATCAGTTTTACATATATTATATATCAAATTAATCATCTTTTGATGATCTTCGATTTGACATCCATATTGTATATATGAAATAAATAAATTATATTTATCTTTATAATAATAAAAGATAATAATATTTATTAAAATTCATTACAAAAATAAAATTATTTATCAATTGATATATTTATTTTTAATGTAGTTATGTGTTTTAAGTTAAAATTTTTTTATAATATAACACAGGTAAGTCGCACAAATAAAAACTGTCATACTAAATATATAATAATATATATTTTCGTAAAAGGTATTTAAAATTTCAACTACTTTTTTCTCATTAATTTTATATTTTAAGAAAAAAATTAGCAAGCACTCGTGTAATACACAGATGTTGTACTAGTTACTAATATTTAGGTATCGAAAACCTATATTCTTTCTTTTATACCCTTATATATAATTCTCATTCTCGATTTATCCCATTATATATAATTCTCATTCCTCATTATAATGAGCTTAAGTCGGAGAAAAAAATGGAGTTTTCGGATCTGGGACTTGACACGGCAATGGAGAATCCGGTCACCGGCCGTCCACCGGACGAACCTCCCGACACGCCGTTACTCTTCAAAGGTACGAAACCCTCGTTCCGAGACATCACCCTTCTATCGAAGCCACTTCCACCGCCGCCCCAAAAGCGAGATTTGTTCAAGGAA